CAGCCCCTCCAGGGATCCCGGGAGGCCGAGCCCTGAGGCGGCGGCGGGGCCTCCCCTGAGGGCGCCGGTGCCCGCGGTTTCCCCGACAGGGCTGCGTTAGGCCTTGGGCCGGGCCGCCCGCCCTGCTGCCTCGGGAACAGATAACGGCTCCGCTTCTCTCCTTTTCTTCAAGAACACGATGCTTTTGGGAAAAGTTGTGCAGCCGGCGTGCCGCCTAAGCAAGCTGCCGCCGCCGGGCGCCCGCAGACCCTTCTGGGGATGGCTGAATGCCGTGTTCAACAAGTAAGAGGGGTGGGGAGGGCACAAGTACCCCCTGCGCGGTTTGGGAAGCGGGGAGCATTCAGTCCCAGGGCTGGAGAGAACATTTGCTATTACCAGTGCACTTTTTTTTCCCCCCAGATTGCATCTTGGGGTCGTTCCTCACCAGTTCCCAGGTACAAAGCCGTGGCCGAGGCAAGCCGACTGTGTGGATCCTCTCCCTAAATACTGGTCCCTAAATTTGACCTCCAAGTGCATTTCAACCACTAGCACAAGCATGCCCCTTCGTTGAGAAAGGCATCTAACCAACCCATCGTTTACAATGTGATCCAGCCGCATGAGCGTTTCTACTTTTAGAAGGATAAAGCCTTTCTCTGAAACTCTTTCTCTGCCCATAATTTTGCCAGTAACTTTTACTTATGTCTTCTACCTCTGGGGAAACGCTTGCATGGTGCAGCTGTAGCAGGGCAGGATGCTCAACCACACTCTTCCAGGGGTCTCTTCCAAGTCTCTGCTTCTGTTTTCAGCATTCCGCACCAGGCTAAGAAAGATACCCTTTTCCTGAAATTCGGACCCGAGGATTTTAGCTAATTGCTGAAGTGTGTCTTTTTGAAAAATTGTAATTGCTGAGGATAAAAGGCTTCAGGAATGACATAAATGTGACAGGCAATAAGAGGTTTCTATATAAGCAAAATATGTTTGGGAGACAAATTGTTGTAAAGGCTTATTCTGGGTAGAGCAAGGCGGTTTTTATCTCTCCTTACAGACATGGAAGGAAACATGTCAAGCTGCGTTTGTATCCTTGTTTTAGCAAAAACATCTGCCATATAGAATAAGTTAAAACCCCCCTCATGCCAGACTGATTAAGAGCCAGCACGATCCAAATAATTCCAGTAAATCATATTTCTGACATCTTACCGTGCACATAACCAGGTACTTGTTGCACAGTGCTACTGTCAGTGAGACCATAAATCTGCCACCTTACAGAACCCCTGTGAACGCTCTTTCTGTCTTGGCAGAGTGGACTATGAACGTATAGAAGCTGTTGGCCCTGACAGGGCGGCCTCCGAGTGGCTGTTGCGCTGCGGCGCGCTGGTGCGCTACCGAGGCTACCAGAAATGGCAGCAGGACTACAACGGTCTCCCAACGGGGCCCTTGGGGAAATACAAGATTGAAGCGATTAACGCCACCGAATCCTGCATCATGTACAGAGGATTTGACTATCTAGGTAATGTAGACACAGCTGTGCAAAGATTATACGGAATGGTCTTAGTTCTTTCATTTGCATCCAAATATAAACAACGAGGTCGTTTTTCTCATTCCTTAGTAAGATACAGATAAATCAAAAATTTTCTTTTTTCCCCTTAAAATCGCTCTACAAATATTCAGCAGTTCTTAAGGTTTTGCTGGAGGTGTGGTGTGAAGTGGAAGGATATTGAGAACTTCATCAGCCCTTACCTGAAGTGACCGTAGCACTAAGGAATGTGCAACAGAAATTTGCTATCTCATTGAGTTCATAGTTAAGTAGTTGGTAGCAAAAAGCACTGCTTTAAATATTCTTTTTGCTTCTACATCAAGTCATGTTTTAGTGTCTGTGAAGTCATAGTACTACTTGTTCTCCAAACATTTATGATGTCTTCAAAGACCAAAAAAAAGTAAGCTGTCAGTTTCTGACCAAAAAAGAGATTAAAGAGTGTCTCAGGTCTCCTTTAAGTAGCAAAAATCAAAACGGGGAACAGACCATGTTATTTTTTCATTGGTAGGGGACCTTGAATTTCCTGCATTGGTATGTGCCTACATCAGAGTCATTGTTTATCACCCAAACTTGTAGAGTTTTTTTGTTACTTCTGTCAAAGCTCTTGGAATCTTACCAAAAGGATCTGAACCCTGGGGTTTGCATAGATGTGAAGTACCACGAAGGGACTTTGGAGGTTCATTGTGGTTGCGGCCCCACTGTCTAAAGGAGCGTCTTGCTGCATGGTTTTGGAGGCAGTTTCTACATGGAGAACTTGACAACCAGTACAGGTTGTTTTGGCATTCTGAAGCAAATACTCAATTTTTGTCTTTCCAGATGGTCTCGAACATGTTACAGAAATCAAGCTGCAAAAGTGTATTTACATACAGGACGCGTGTCTGCAGAGGCTCAGCGAGACGAAGAATCTGCAGAAGAGTCTCCTCCAGCTGCGGATCATTTCCTGTGGGAACGTCACAGATAAAGGCATCATCGCGCTTCACAGGCTGACGTACGTGAGCTGCTGAGCTCTCCTTGCTTCCCACCACAGTTTTGGGGTTACGCTGAGTGGAAGGGCCGAAGGCTGAATGTCTCTGGGCCGTGTCAGAGGCACGTGGGGCTGTGGGATGGCTGGGTGTCGGGGGCTGACCAGGATGGCAGCCTGGCAGGGGTGGCACTGCCGCTGCAGGAAATGTTTCTTCAGGTGTGGTTGAAGACGCTTGTGGGTAGCTCTGAAAAGATGATTAACACCTTTTAAGGCTGGCATCAGGGAGCTGGGAGCTGAGAAGGCTGGAATATCCACTGTGGTACGGGCATCCATGGCTGAGCTCCTGCCCGCAGCGCCCAGCACAGCGTCTCCCAAGGAACTTGTGCAGCGTTTGTCATGGGGGAAAATAGTAACATGGTAATGGTTTAGTGACAAATCACGATCTAGCAGCACGTGATCATTAAGCAGTTTAAAGATTTACAAAATAATTCAGTGAAAGGTGTTAAAGTAGCAACTTAACTACAGATTTGAAAATGACAAGATTGAGAACGGTCAGTATGAGGTTCATGGTTGGACTGGAGGATCTTGAAGGTCTTTTCCAACCGAGATGATTCTGTGATTCTGTGAAGAATTAGGATATAAAGTACCCTAAATCAATATATATGTGTACATTCATAAACACAAGACATACAAACTCAAAGACAGATGAAAGTATTTGGATCCAGTGAAATACGTGTGTCCTCACACTCATGAAAGTAACTGTGTATGCCCAAACCCCCAAAGCAGAGAGGGGGTGAAAGAGAAGCCAGCTCAAAGTTAAAATTTCCCTCTCCCCGAGTTTAAATACTCACAACACCTCAGCATTCCTCATGGGCAGTAACTGAGACTCGAGGGGGTCAGCTTGGCCCCAGGCTCCCATTGGACCTGTCAGCACTCGGTACCTCGAGGAGTTGGGACCCGAGAGGGTCCCAGCCCAGGGGAGATGCTGGTCCCAGGCCGCTGCAGTCCAGGAGAGCTCCGAGGGTCCAACCTGGGGCCGCTGTTTATAAGTTCCAAGATAATTAACTTTCCTCGGGTAATTTTCACTCTGGCCCAGCTCCAACAACAAGGCATTCTGGTGTCTTCTGCCAGTTGGACAAGAACTGATGGGGTGTGATTCTGTTCCTGTTCTCTGCTGCCGGGGAGGGCAGAGCCAGGCTCTCAAGGGGCGCCACAGCGCTCCGTTCGCTGCCGTTAACGGTCCTTCTCTCCCCAGGTCGGGGCAGGGGTTAGTACCTCACCCAGCACCAGCAAGGAGAGGGCTGGGGGGAGGAACTGCACCACTGCAGCGTCAGCTGCACAGATCAGAGCAGGACGCATGCTCCCTGCCCATGCACAACCGCTGCAAGAGAGGTGAGCGCGGGCAGCATATGTCACGCTGGCGCATGACAGGGTTTTGCTTGAGAACAAGCAACGATCACTTTGGTTTCTGCTCCTGCCCCGCTGCAGCTGCTTCTCAGGACAGGATCTGACAGAAGGACCTTAACTTTTATTGTCCCGTCGCCGTGGCCTGAAGGCTCTTGGGGCAGGTCTGGGCACCGTCCGCAGGCGCTTTGGTGACCTGTTGGATGTCACACGGAGTTACCGATGTCTACAGACAGTTGACGCAGGTTTCACCCCACGGAAAGTTACTGCTCAGGACTTTCTGTATTAGTCTGTTATCTACACTATGCTAACTTGTGCTGAATTGCTGTTATTACATACTGTTCAATATAAAGGAAGCCGCACAATGCGGGGGGTCCAGGATCTCTTTGAGCTGTGTAGAACTGAGCTTACAGTGAGCTAAAAGCTTTAAGTGCCCACTTCAGAAAAAAACTTCCATTAGGACCAGTAACCTTTTAAAATAATATAACTATGGTAGAGTAATCCTTTGTCTAATTCCTGTGTCAACAGTTTAATAGGAGTTGCTGACTTTTCCTTTTTAAATATTTATAGGAACCTTGAATATTTGTATCTGAGTGACCTTCCCGGAATAAGAGAGAAGGAAACCACTGTGCGTGTCCTTCAGCAGGCACTGCCAAACCTGGAGCTGGAGCTGGATCTAGAATAAACACAACTGCACGTAACTGAGATGTATCTGATTTCATATCAAGTTAAGTTGCAGACGCTACTGTATTTCCAGGTATGGAAATAAGCCCAGATATCCCAATCCAGCCTTAAAAGCTGGATGCAAACTCGTATACGATTAAGTTTTATTAAGCTTCATCTATATGGTGAATCAACAACAGAGAGAGGGTTGGCTTCTGTGCGTAGTCATTTTTTCCCTGTTTTTATAGGAAGCTGTTAATACATCAGAAGTTTTCAAATATCTTATAGCACGGAAATGCTTGTGCAAAGTGACAGCTGGAGGAGCCGGGGCTGTGACCCAGCGGTGCTGTACGCTTGTGTCACATGTCATCAATGCTGCGGGAGCAAGAGCTGTTCGTGCTCCGAGGATCTCGCCCAGTCAGTGGGTGATGATTTAATAAAATAACTTGTGGGCTTTGTTTCTGTTCTTCTTTCAGTGGAGCCATCCGCAGGCAGCGTGAGCTCCCTCAGTGCTGAGCCGAGGAGCTGAGCGTCGCTCGGCTGGTGGAGCAGCCGGTCTCTTAAGACAGGCCCTTGCGCGTGTTTCTGCTGTACGCTGGCACGGGTTGAATTAGTTCCGTGCACCGCTCTGGGTGTGGCTGTATCACTCCTAAATAAGAGTGATTCATCCTCAGGAAGAATATGGCATTTTTAGTAAGGTTCCTAGCTTGGGGCGCAGGGGAGAGGAAGGCAGTAGGCAGCGGCTCCCTGAAAGATTTTGGGGTAATGCCTCGGATGCGGCTACCGCTGCGTTACAGTCTCCTCTCCTGTCCCCGGTGGCTGGCTCATCCTCTGCAGGAAGCGCCGCCGGGCACCGAAGGGATAACGTAGCTGCGGCGTGGGGCTGATTCTTCTTGATATTTTCTCACAGAGAGTGGGCAGGGATGGTGTCCAGAAATGGAATTCCCTGCCTGGCTCCCTCTTGCGTCCAGAGCAGCAGCACCTACACAGCACTGGGGGCCTGAAATGGCCCCTGGGCAAACGCCAAAGCTGTCAGAGAAACCAAAACTACCTACGGACTCTGTGCTGGGGATGAAATATATCCAATTATAACGGGAAATAAAAGGTAGACATGTGAGGATATGGCACCTGTCCTGCTGAAATTGCTGTTGTTGAACACACAACAGCGCTGGGAAAAGAAAACGTTTCTGCTCTAGGGTTTATGTTGAAAGAGGATGTTACTTGCCCAGGAGGAAAACTTTAAAACACATCCAGGAAATTGGAAAAACAAGCTACGTTTCTTTTATTCCAAATCAACACAATATTATATCCTGAGATTACACAAACCCCAAGAATCAGTCTAATACATATGCTTAGGTAGAATTCCTGCCTGCGTCTGGCCAATGTTATAAATTCTATTAATGACTTATTTTTGATAAAACCAATTTTTGTAACACTACAGTCAAGTGACTTCGCTAGCGACAGAAACAGCAAATAAAAATCATAATACAAGGAAGAAACAGGCAGGAGAGCTGAAAAGCCTAAATACCAGGTTTTATTCTTAAAATGCTCTCCTGGTAATTGCCTGCTGAGCCTTCCGTTAGGCCACTGCTGGGACTTTTAATACCGGGTGAGCTATAAAGGCGGACGGATCCTTAAGGCAGCGCCGTTTCAGCAGGTTTGTAACTAAGGGGAGCAGTTGGGCGGCCTCTCCTCAGGCTCTGCTCCACAAACACACACGGCTGTCTGTCCGTCTGTCTGCCTGCTGCTTGCACCAGCACTGTGCAGGATCAGTGACTTAGCCCCAGCCTAAAGCACTGGTCCTGTCTGCACCCAGCGGGCCCCTGATTGATTTGGCAAGGTTGCAGTTCTTCTGCCAAGTCTGAAATACAGGTGAGAGATGGGCGAGAGTTTTTAAATTCACACGGTCAACATGGGGTTGCAGTAATCCTGAACCAATATACAATCACAAATTAAAGCAAACCAAATGGATTTTTCTTTGTACACAGAACATTAACACAAACTGGGGAGTTCTCAGTGCGTCACTGTGCTTCCATCCCTGAAGTACATTACTTCACAGACCACTTTTGTATCAGTCACAACAGGTATTAATTTAGTTTCCCACCCTGTACCCTCCTTGTATAAAAATTCTGCGTGTCTTGAACTTTGAGCAATAAACAGTTTTTTAATCTGCCGACTGGTTAGATGTTGGGGAAATGGTAGCTCAGTTTCCTTGTTTTGCAGCAGTACTTCTTGCTGTCCAGAGCTGGCAGAACGTTGCAGCTGGTTAACTGAGGCAGGTGCTGTGACGAAAGGAAGTTACAGAGCGCATGTTATTTGAAATCAGAACAAAGCATTTTGCTCGTCAAATGGAACATAAGCTGTAAAACTACTCGTGCTGTAACCCTGTATTTTTCCAACTAAGAGTCACGGATCTGGTGTTCTACGACTGGACTGCAACCAGAACAGCTCATAATGGTATTTCTTCCAGTCATCCAGGACAAGAAAAATACTGTTAGGTCGCAGAAACGGAAGAGGCGAGGCAGTTTGATCCTGCAGCAGTTCTCCAATTCCCTGCACGTTCCCAGCTCCGAGAGGTGCCGCGGGGAATGTGGCTGACGGGAGGAAGGAGCTGCTGAATGATTCTCACCCCCAGGCCGGGTTGGGAGACTTGGGCCGGAGTCTGGAAAGACTGACAGGGCAGGGAGACGTTCGCTTGGCAACTGCAGCGGCAGAAACACCCAGTGACGTCTGGAACTGAGGGATCCCATCCCGTCGGCGCTTACAAACGCAACAGGGTGTTTCTGCCACCTCTGTAATTTGGGATTTAAAAGATTGAAAAGATCCCAGAGAACTCCAAATGAAACCAGCCGTGCAAGCCCGTCCTGTTGTGTCAGGAATGCCCGGCCCAGGGTAAACCCCATCTCCCCTGGTGCTGCAGTGGAGCTGCGATGCAGAATTCACTTTGCACCAAGTTCCTCGTTAGCCAGGAGGTTCATTTTTCTCCTCAGGCTAAAATTAAGATCGGTTCAACACAGGAGCTTTTGCTCACCATTAACTGCCAGCATGAGGCAACGACCCAGCCCCTCCTCGGGCACAGACCGTTAAATACTATTATACAACGAAATGTTACCTCTGGCACGTGCTTCCGAGCCAGCCTGGCTGGCTTCCGAGCTGTTTTTTCATGTTCTTTCCCCATTTCTGCCACCTCCCTAATGCTGTCAAAATAGGGATGCTGAAGCAGCTGCTCACACGTCTGCCTCTCCGCAGGGTCCAGACGAAGGCAACCCTTAGAAAGGATGAAATAAAGGATCAGCACAAACCCCTCGCTAAAGGGGTCTGCCCAATTCCAGCTCCTCTCTACAGCCAGCGAGTATTTGCACAGATATGTGTGTTAATCTTTTTTTTTTTTTTTTTCCTAAGAGTGGCTTTTCAGAGTCAGCATGAAGCTTGCAAAGCAGCTAATACTGAAGAATTACCACGAGGCAGGAAGAGAAATTGCAGCCAGCAGGACAGTTACAGTTGTACAGTGTAGCCTCCAAAAACCAGTCAATCCCACGACTTTCATTTGAACTAGCACAACTTTCTTAGGGGAATCCACTGTGGCTCTATGGCAGAGCTGCACCTTGTTTTTAATGTCTCCATCCTCACAGTTTCCATTCACTGCATCTTTACGAGGGAATCGTTTTCCACCTCCATGGCAAAAAGGAGTGGATTAGAGGAGTGGATTAAAAAGCCTCTCCAAATGCCCTCCAGCTCTGTATTACAATGCATCTCCTGATAATTCAGTAGCCAACTCTCAAACCATTCACCAGCCGAGAAGCAAACCAGAAGTGCATTTACCAAGGCCCAGCGCAGAGCTGCTCCACCAGCTGTAGTTTTCTTACCTTCATGAGAATTAAAGCGGAATATGAAATATTAGGGAATTTCATTTCTAACGGCTCCTGGAGGGAAAAAACCACTAGTGAGTGTACTCATACTAGCAAGCTCTTCATTCACAAGGGTACAGAGAGTCAGTTTTCCATAGCAACACAACCTGTACCTCGCAAAATGCCTCTGCTGCTGCCTGTGCCTGGGGGGGAGCTGCCTGGTGTTGCTGAGGATTGGGTAGGTTGGCTGTTGTGCCAGCAGCAGGGGCGAGAAGGAGAAGAGATTAAGCATTTGTCTGACTGCTTTTACACAGGGTATCTGTTAAAATGTCATGAGAGCGGTTCAGCCACCCCAAGTAATATTTTACTGGCAAAGTAGAGGGCAAAACTTTAAAGGAAAGGGGAAAAAATGCTGCGCAGCAAAGGACTGGTTGAACTGAGCAAGTGAGGCTCTTCCATCTCTGCTTCCTGAGCAGACAGCATGGGCACTCTGGGTAAAAAGAAGCAGGAACATTTCTCTGTGTGAACACCACACCTCTTTAGCACTGCAGGGAGATTGCTGGATAGGGCTAGGCTCAAGGGAAGCGTGTCTGGAGGGAGCTCTTACCATGCTCTCCGGGTCTGGAATTCGTACCCCGCTGAAGAACTGGTTGGTGCTGAACACTTGCTGGTGCCTGGGAATGAGATCCCCTTTGGCCAAGAATGAAAAAAAAACAACCCAAAGTCAGATTATTTTGCTGGTTTTACAGCACTGAACAAGTTTATATCCTCTAACAAGGCTGACACCATCCAAGAGAACATCTAAAGAGATGTTGTACCATCAAGCGAGTCGACAGAATGTTCTTGTTTGAAAACTAACGTCCACCTGGGACGGACATCAGTGACCACAAAGCTGGGCGAGTGCACAGGAGGCTCACAACTGCCCAGGGCCTCCAGCTGTGAATAGCTCAAAGAAATGCAGCTGGTGGGAGCAGTTTTTGGAGCAGGAGTCCCCAGTTTTGGTGCATCTTCCAGGCTCTGAGTTCCTGCGCGGAGCAGCAGAGAGGCAGCAGAGCAGCCAATACAGCTGAAGACCTTGAAAAATATGTATTTCTCTATATCTCCTACGCCAAGTGCCTAGGTCCTATCGCTGCCTTACTTGGGAAACTGCAAATTTGGCTGTGCACTAGCAAAAAAGGCCCCTTGGTAGAACACCAGGGAATGAGCTGGGCAAGGCACAAAGTTTCACAGAAATGTCCGCTCTGCACCAGCACCACAGAGCCCTGGCCCAAGGGAAGGTCTGTGCATCAGGAGCGGGGGAACACCCCAGCATCAGAGCCGGGGGGTGCTGGGCCAACACCCACCCCGGGGTCTGGCACTCCAGAGCCACAGCCCCACTGCCTGCCCACAGTGTTAGAAACACAGAATCATCTCGGTTGGAAAAGCCCTTGAAGCTCCTCCAGCCCAACCATGAACCTCACCCTGACCGTTCCCAACTCCCCCAGATCCCTCAGCGCTGGCTCAGCCCGACTCTTCAACCCCTCCAGGGATCCCGGGGACTCCCCCCTGCCCTGGGCAGCCCATTCCAACGCCCAACAGCCCCTTCTGCACAGAAATCCTTCCTCAGAGCCAGCCTGACCCTGCCCTGGGCAGCTTGAGGCCATTCCCTCGGGGCCTGGCGCTGGGGCCTTGGCTCCAGAGACTCATCCCCCCTCTCTGCCCCCTCCTGGCAGGGAGTTGCCGAGGGCCAGGAGGTCTCCCCTCAGCCTCCTCTTCTCCAGACTACAGGGGAGATCAGGTTGTTAAGGGAGATCAGGGCAGCAGCCAAGTCTCCTGCTCACATCAGACACCACCGCCCGGCCCTGGGCTCTGAGGAGTGACCGGCTGGAGCCGCTCTGTTTCGGAGGGGCCGCACGGCAGCATGGGCCCGCTTTGTTGGGGCTTTGTGGGCTCTCCTGGCCTGCCCTCCGCACTGCTGCAGAATGTTTCAGCATTTTCAAAGGAAAAGGCTTCCCAAGAGGCAGCCTGTCTGCATAAACAGTCATGTCTTCTCTGACCGCTGGGTCAGGCTAAACCACAAGCGTTCCAGCTTTATTCAAATTTAACTCATATTGGGTGAAACTCTTTTCGTACACGCCTGTGGGTGCTGTGTAGAAAAGAGCTGAGATGCAGCACCAACAGGAAGGTGCTGTAGCTTTTCCCCAGTGCAGCTTCATGGCCCTTTTTTGACACTTAGAGCAGCTCAGAGCAAGCCAAAGGTTAAAATCAAACCCGTAACAGAAGAGCCAGGACAGCAGCCAAACTGCCAGAATTACACAGCTTTGACCAAGGAGCTTTTCTCTGCAAACGCTGCCTCAGTCCAGCACCTGCATCAAAAGGGAATTTCTTCTGGCCAAAACCCCATCATTAAAAATAAATTCTAGCTCACCTAACACCGGCATAAATGTATTCTGGAGGATGATGCAGTTGACGTTGAACTATTTCTCTAGCTAAGGAGTGTATCTGTTTAAAACCATTAGTCACCTTTACAGTTTTATAAGCTGCTCAGTAAAAATTCCAATTCTCAGTTCATTCCAACAAATTGCAATTCAAAGTGGGAGATTGTTCCTTTCCACCCCAGAAATCAGATGTTACACACTAGATCAAACAGAACCAACGAGACTAGATTAATTTAAGTGTTACAGGGATAATGGCTCTTTGATTTAACCTCTGTTCCAAATCCGAAGCGGGACCTGCAATTCTTTGGTGAATAAAGACAAAGAAATGGAACAGACAAACAACTTTAATGTTCACACTCTTTCCCAAGCCATCACCAGGCACTGGCAGTGTTTGCAGGGCCTCCAGAGCTGTGATGAACTAAACTGATGAACTTGTTATCTAGAGGCAGGGACCCCTTTGCTTGGTACCAAACCCTAAAAAGTACCTGGATCTTTCAAACCTTTATGCAGAACATTCCAGGTTCTGTCTGCTACAGGCACCTCCTTTTTCTGTCTGTGTGGAGACAGCCGAGGATGTGGAAGGGCCAGCAGCAGAGGCAGGTGTTTCTGCGCCTCCTGCGGGGCTGGCCCTGTGCTCCCCAAACACCCCGGTAGTCACTGAGCCACCCCAAAGGACCAGGAGGGGCATCTGGTGGCCACCTAACACATCCCACATCTTTCTGAAACTGCCCAACACCAGCCCCAGCTTCCCAGAGGCCATGAGTGCTGCAGAGAGTGGAAGGAGGGTTTCAGGCAGCTTTGCTGCTTACGCAGCCCTGTCCACGGTGAGCCCTTGGCCCGGCACCGCACGCTCGGACAAGCCAAAAGCAATTCCAACACACAGATCTTGTTCTGGAGAACAGTCACCACCCACGTGGATGCCAACTTTGCTTCCCAGGATCTTGCCAGGCCCTGGAGCAGCATCTGTTCCTCCAACTAAACAATCTCCTAACGAGATGTGCATTTGTCACGCTAGGAAAACCTCAAACAGCACCTCAAATAAGCCAGCACCTACTAAAGGGAGAGATCCACTGGGTAAATTCACCTCCCAGCTAATCCCAAATCCCACCACAGAGGCAAATCCTCCCGGGCAAGCTCTAGTCCTGCCTGAGGCATCGGGAAGATGCAGGCTCCGGCCAGAGCAGCGAGGACACTTACCCAGGGTTCTCCGGATGAGGTACAGCTGGTCGACATCAGACTTGCCAGGCCAGAGAGGGACCCCGGAGAGCAGCTCCGCAAAGACGCAGCCTATCGCCCACACGTCCACGGGAGGGCCGTACTGGGTGTCCCCCACAAGTAACTCCGGAGAGCGGTACCACCTGGTAGCCACGTAGTCGGTGTAATAATCACTGGGACCAGCTAGGAAGGAGAGAAACAAACAGGAATGGGGGATCAGGATGATGCAGACGAGCCACCATCAGTTGTTGGGGCACCTCCTGGGCAGGCAATAGCTACAGGAACAGGGTGAGTCACTGGCCACTAGCAGAACCCAACTTTGGAAATGCTTCAGATTTGGCAAAAATCAAGACCATGTTTTTCTCCAAAGGCGAATACGCATAGCTCCACAGCAGGGCCCTGCACCAGCCAGTGGCCAGTTCTCAAAGCTCACGTGATTTGTCCGAACAAGAGCTAAAAAAACCCCAACAGATTAGGGGGTTTATTTACAACGGAAAATGTGAAGCTATTGTTTGCAGAGACAGCGCCTTCTGCCAGAGGGGCTCCTCCTGCCAGGGAACTCCAGCTGTGTCTCCAGCATTGCATAAGGGCTGGGCAGCAATGAGATGCCCAAGGCCAACTTCTATCCACCAGCGCCAGCACCACCAGCAGCTCAGCAGAAGCAGCGGGGAGCTCAGAAAGAGTTTGTTTACGGAGGCACTTGGCACTGCGGTGTCTGAGCTAGCTCCTTTTGAGCTGCTTTGGGGATCTCTACCCAGCCTTTTTCTGTGAAAACACGCTAGCCTTTATACAGGATGATTTACATGTGCGTCAGAGACCAGTGAGTATTTGCTGGGTTTTGAAAGCCTGATCCTACACTTCATTTGAGCTTTCACATGTTAACAATCCGGGTAAGTAGCAAGTGGGCACTCACTCAGTATGCGAGCAAATCCAAAGTCACAAAGTTTGATAACCGAGTGTTTTGTTATCAGGATGTTTTCTGGCTTTACATCTCGGTGGATGCACTGGAAACAGAAAAAAAAACAAGGTTAGAAGCAAGTATTTAACCTGGCCCTCAGATAAAGAACCTCTTAATTTGGCCACATACCCCTTACACATTGTGCCAGGCTTCCTGTTGAAAGAGAAGATGGAAGGATTTCTTTGCAGCAGCTAAAGCCACATCCTGCTAAGCAGGACAATTACCTTGCCGACACCCCACCTCCGGGATAAGACACCGTGCAGGCTCCCTGTGTCAGCTGTGTAGCTCCGTATCGCTTGGACAACAGCCCGTCAGCTCCCCAGAACCAGCTGGGAATCTGCTAGTGGGAGGAGCGAGGGTTGTGGTCAGCCTGGCTCTCTGCAAACACAGCTCACCTGAGGCAGCTCTGTGTAACACACTCCTAACCAGGGACTCCATCCACAGCTATGTGGGGAGATCCTAGCGAGAGGTGCGTAGGTCCTCTGGGCTCAGTTCTTGGATGAAGTCTGTGAGCTGTATTTACTGATAGACAAGCAAATGATTTTGCTGGCAAAGCTCACAGATGAGATAAAAGCTCTGGTTTAGCTGTGGGACTTTATCTATCCCTGCAGATGCCAGAGAGTGCCTGGTATTCCCTCTGTGCAGCACAGCTGAGACACACCCAGAGCTCTGTGTCCAGCCCTGGGATCCTCAGTAGAAGGAAGATGTGGGCGTACTGGAGTGAGCCCAGTGAAGGGCCAATAAAATGATTATGGGATTGGGATCTCTGACCTCCAAGGAGAGGATGAGGGAGCTGGGACCATCATTCAACCTGGAGAAGAGAAAGCTCAGGGGGATCTTATCAATGTGGGAAGAGGTGAAGAAGACCGAGCCAGGTTCTCCTCGGTAGTGTCCAGAGAAAGGACGAGAGGCAGTGAGCACAAATGGAATGCATTCCGTTTCATTCCATTTAAATGTAAGCTTGTTGTTTTGTTTTTTTTTTACTGTAAGGGTGGTCAAACATCCAAACGGGTTGTCCAGAGAGCCTATGGAGCTTCCCATCCTTGGGGATATTCAAACTCTGACTGGCAAAGTTTCTGAGTGGCCTGGTCTAGCTGACCCAGCCTGAGTGGGAGGGCTGGACTCAATGATCTCCAGAGGTCCCTTCCAACATCAGCAATTCTGCGAGTCTTGAGAAGTCACCCTGCCTGCTGAAGGCCCACAACAATTGGATTTGGGCTTGGGAAAGAGTTTGGGCTGATCAAACTAGCAGAGACCTTCATTTCTTCTGCCTACATGTGGAAGGTCTGCTCTACTGTAATCATCAGGGTCTGGCTCATGTTGTCCCTCCCCTACCACCACCTCAGCACAAACACCTCGGACTTTTCCTAGCTAAGCTGGTGGTAAATTATCATGTCTCCTCCTGCAGACTGAAATGCTGCTTGTTAAACAAGTGTCACGGAGTTCCAAAAAGGGCAGCTGCATAAAACCTCATTACCTGTGATCTACAGCAGGTCAGCCTGCCGCATCTCATTGTTCCCTTGGCTTTAAAACTCCATGAAATCTTTCAGACTGAGTGGGGGGACAGAAAAAAAGAAGAAAACCAACAAATCCTGGAAGCAGTACAGACCAATGGCCAAGTTCCTGTGGCTCAACTGGACATAATTCTCCTAGCAAAGACAAAGCACCCATTCCACAGTGATCTCCTGCCCGACTCTTAAATCTCAAGTATTGGCAGATAAACAAAACCAAAGACAATTATAGCTAAGTTTGCCTAAAGAACTTCTCCAAAAGGCCCCTTTCCTTCCTGGCTTTTGAAAGCATCCCCACTGCTTTCTACAAAATATTTGCCGTGCACACTGCCCTCCAGAAAGCAGAGGAGGAGTTGTAAAACTGGTTTACTGTATCTATTTGAAACCTTTTAATTGGTAACATGAATCAATGCCTACAACTATCAACAGAAGGACTTTGTGGGGAATCGGTAGCAGCTTGCTCAGGTCTCAGCTGCTGAGATGTTAAGCCGGATTTCTAAACATCAATTCTAATGTTCAGCCTGAAAGCTTGTCTAATGACCTTAGGGTCATTAGTGCAAATCATTCCTCGAGAGCAAACCCAAGGGACCGGCGTGATAGTAAATGCAACTCTTGTGGGTATTCAGTAATATTTCAGATAAATGTTTCCTGCTGAAAACATCAAATTTCACCTGACTTCATCCCATGAAAATTCTGTAATCGGGAAAATGGCAACAGAATCTCCTTTCCCTCCAAAGCCATGTTACAGCTATCGTTAGTGCAGTTTAGGGGACTTACATTGTGTTTATGGCAGAAGTTCACAGCTTGGAGGGTCTGCCAGGTTATGCTCTTCACTAGATGCTCCGGCACCCTGTTTTAAAAAAGCACATTTTTATATTGGCTATTAAAAATAACTTCATTATCACAGGAAAAGGGAGGGGAGGCCTTTGAATGCTGACATTGTACAGGGATCTTTGAGCAAAACCAGTCAGGGACAAGCCAACAAACTCAGAAAAAAAAACCCACTAGCTCATTTTCTTGCTATAAATAAGTTACAAGAAACACATAATAACCTTCAGTGCATTGATCAGACGATCAATGCAGGAAACCAGCCACGCTGGGCTGCTGATGGTGGAGGCTCTTGTCCCTCCTCCCAAGTTTCAGAGCTGAGGCTGAGTTCTGCCTGCACCTCCCTGCACAAAGCAACACTTTGTTATCCTCCAAGCATGGCAGAAGCATCAAAGGGAACATCAAATCCGCTTCCAAATCCAGTCGGTGCAAGGATCTCTGAGGATTCATGGCAGCTAAGAGCACAGCAGAGTGTCTGGCACCACTGTCACAGCCAGCACGAGGCCTGCCGACTGGTGACTACCCCTCAGTGCCTGCAAGTCTGGGCTGGATCCCGTCTCGTGGCTGTGCCTAGCATCCAGGCTTCCTGGCAACACTCCTGAAATTCCAGCAGGCGCTTCTGCCTCTGGGGAGTGCTAAGGCTTGGACAATAGGCTCAAGCCAGAGGTGACCTATAGATGAGTCCTGTATATCTTATACCTGATAACCACTGTGCTAGTAGGTATTGTGCCAGGTTATAACAAACCACCTGTGCTGATGTACAAAGTGTTAAAAGTGTTGAAGTACTGAAGCCTGAACAACAGGCCCCGAGCTGAAGCTGCTCACTTAGTATGTGAAATTATTAGTGAAATATGTATGCTCATTAATGAAAGATGTACCTTAGACAGAATATAATCAGCAGTGAGGATGAAATGCTGAGAGAATGTATCCCACTTCCCTTGCTCAGCCTTGTTCAAGGCTGAGAACCCACGTGTTTGGCCTTGTTAGAAACTCCCTTGGTTCTCCCCGCCGAGCCCTGGCCAGGCTTTGGGTGGAATCCAGCAGGAGGATGACACCAGATGTTTCCGCTCAAAACAAAGGTGCCAGTTACTCTGCCTTGCTGATTCTTGGTCTATAAGGCCGGACCATCTTGCAGCGACTCTGGATGCCTCAGCTACGGGTGGACACACCGTGTGGGACGTCCCACTCACCGGGAAAGGCTCAACAAACCCTCGCTGCACCCGGGGCTGCCCAGCGCCTGCGGGGCTGGGGGGTGGTGACGGGTGCAAGTGGGGATGGATCTGTCTTAATCACTATTCTCTCTCTCTCATGTATAATGATTTGATGCATTGCCCTGTATTTTCCTATTTGTTTGCTTTAAGTGCATCGTTCTGTCTTACTGCATGTTTCTGTATTACTCTGTGACGTTATTTAGTTATCCCCAGTAAAATACACCTACTCTTTTCACTCTGGTGTCTGAGTTTAATTGATATCCTTAACCAGCAAAATACTCTGCAATTGCTGGGGTGTTGGAGGTAGTGGGGTACCCGGAGGAACGCTCTGAGTTCCAATGCTGTCAGGTCACTGACTGTCCGGAGCAGAGAGGTGACCAAAATGGGATGGGGAAGGATGTTCCTACAAGAGCATAAATCTCTTCTTTGGTTTGCATCTCTTCTCCTTCCCTCCAGTGGCTGGCTAACACTTCAGAGAAAGAAAAGCTCTGTTAAAGATCCAGCCTCCTCTCCTGTGCAACAGTTCTTAAACCTCCTTGGCTGTCTAACAGTCTTCAACAACCCCAGAGAAAGCAGAGGTGACAGTCTTGACATTTTCAAGCTCAAATCCAATTTTATTTCACGTCTTTAGTGCTGAAAAGCTTCTGATTCATCATAAAGAAAAAAAACCCACACAGAAAGCCTGGCTTTTTCTTTAAGGTACCCAAAAGCATCCTAGATCGTGGGAGTGCTGCACTGGCAGCCTGACAAGGGGATCAACTTGGTCAAATGACCTGGAGAGATGGTGCAAAGAGGCGCATGCCCACCCATCTCCATCCTGACCACAAAGGACTTGACCATCTGCTGTAGCAAAGATCAAATGCGACGTATGCAACCAGGCGTTACACATTCGTTCACACTGGAGCTGTTCTGATGAGCAAAAGGCAAATGTGAAGGGTTTTTTTCAAAGAGGGTTATCCAGCCTCTCTTCAGATTCTAGGGGAATAGGTTCAAACTGGGGTGAAAGCTGCTCACCAAGCGATCTGCTATCAGCATGCTCCATTCCCCTTCTAGAGTTCCACATCAGGGAGAAAGAGAATAACAGGCTTGTTTACTCAACCCCCAATTAGTCTCCTGCAGGCAATTCATTTAGCTCCAGGCCTGTAAAATGATTTATGCACTTCTGCTTAGCATTTCCACAGCACCAAGTCACTGTGAATAATTAGGGACAATGTATTTAGTGGGAGTGGCATTTAGAATGTGTCAAAAGAACAAACCCTGTCCTGGAGAATGTTCTTTCTGCAAGTGCCCGTTTAAAGAAGAGGGTATCTGACCTGAGGGTGTGCAGAAAGGTGCAGGCAGAGCTCCTGCTAACTCCCAGCCAACACCTACTCCTCAGCACCACAGCATGCCAGAGGGCTGAAAGTCACTGCTCTGTCATACGGGTCATCAGAGGCATCACGACAGACTGTGCATGGTTTGGGTGCTCACAGCCTGGGTGTGCACAGCCTCCCCCAGCGACGTGCACCCACACCTGGGTAGCAGGAGGAAGGAGGGCTGTGTGCCCCCCAGCCTGACTCCCCCAGCAGCCCTGACCTCTTTGCAGCGAGACACGAGACTCCCCCCAACCCCCCGGCTTGGGGATTGCAGGTGCCAAGCCAGCCCAAGGTCACCCAACCATGCAGGGTCAGCGCCCCGGTCTCCTTGGTGAGCAGCGCCGGGCAGGAGCGCACACAGGCTCAGAGACAATTCTTTGGACGTCATTGCTAAACCACAGGAACGGAGTGAGTCCTGGGCACTGGACTGAGAAACCTCTCCGGTAACTAAATTCCTCTGAAAACTCTGCAGAGCAGCAACGACATAGACACCCCCGAGTGCTCTGCTCAAAGCTCCCCCATGAGAGACAGGCCACTCACCCCCGGGGGTGCTTGTCCAGCTCATGGAGAACTGTGTGGTCGCAGTATTCGAAGACCAGATGCAGCCTCCGCTTCCTCCTGAACACTTCCAGCAGGTTCACCAGGTTGGGGTGTTTGAGTTGCTGTAACACACAGTGGATGGGCTGGTTAGTTACCGCACGGAGGAGCAGGGTAAAGGGGCGGGGGCACACAGTGCTTCTACCCACAAGGGTCTCAATTCCTCGAGCTGAAATCTTTTACACAAGCGCAGCACGACGCGGAGAAGCAGCTCAGCTACAGCTCAGCCCAGGGTGTAGTTATTTTAGGAACTTGCTGTGGGCAACGTCAACTTGGCTTCAGTGAGTGCCTCTTAGAAAAGATGCTCATAGATAAAGAATTCATCACGGAGCCCACGGCTATCCCAGCGGCACTTTTCACTGTAGGTATCCAGTCTTTGACCGCCCCACAGTGAAAAGCAGCTGGCCCTGGAGAACAGCTTGGGAAATCCCACACGGTACGAGCCTGCAGCAGGCAAACACACATTCAGGAGAAACCAAGAGCTCCTCGGATAAGCACGTGGTCTCAGCTTCACCAACTTCTTGTCAGAATGTGGAGAGGATAATTAGCAGCGTTTTTATTGCTGCTTCTTCCTCTTCCTCTCAATCCACTTCATGTGCTCAAAGGGGACGTAAAGCCTGAGCACAGGAGGGTTATTCAAACGCACCTCAAGAGGTGAGGGTGGACTCCACTGGAGCTCTTCACTTCCTATTCCTTTGGCAGCATTTTGGGGGAGGGCTGGGGAGAGGGCTTGAACCATGGGGCACAACACAGCCTTTGGAAATGGCAACAAAGAAAAGCCAACCCCAACTCAGGAATGTTATTTCTTTTCAGATGACTCATGGCACCATCCCTTCTGCTCGCAGGGACCTGTAGCCACGAGGGCTTTGCCCGGCCAAGGCTTTACAGCAAACACATTTCTAAGCAAGGAGGCTGGAAAGGGCATTGCCAAGGAGTTATGCCAAATCCAGCTTCTAACCTGCCTCTGAGTTGTCTGGGAAAGCCTGTAAAGGAGAAGGCAGAAGAGTCAAGACTCGAGAAAACTGTGAGGGGCCTCAACTGAGGAATGCAGCTGTTTGGGGAAGTGTCCACTTAGCCCTGAGGTGAAGGATCACCAAAACCCATGACTTGAATCCTGGGGTTAACCAGTGAACTTGAGGGAAAGAGCAGGTCAGCAGAAGACCCCCACCACACCTCACGAGCAGGAGGGCCCTGGCGGGGCCAGTTCAGTGCTCTGATGGGCACGCTGTGAAAACTTAATTTTATTCAGGTGTGTCACTGCAAAAGCTCCTTGTAAGGAGAGACCTTCCAGGGAGCTCACTGCCTCTGGGGGACATTGTACGGAACCCAGACTGTACTGAGCCCACATGCCAACACACAGGGTCCCTGTCAGTGTGCAGCGGGTGCCTATTCCCCTCCTGCAAACTGGCAGCAAGGAGCTGATGTTTCTAAACAGCATCTCTTACTGCACACAGGGCCTGTTCCTTCACTCCTGCCCACACCGTGTAAGCCATCTGCCAGCGTCAAAGACCTGTGCGCCCATCTGGGTCAAACCAAGATCTACCCACTTCCTCAGTCCTTCACGGCGAGTATTTGTGCATCAAGCACCATCCCTGTCCAGCACAAGGTACCCAACAGCGTCCGCAGGGCCTGACTGTCAGCGTAACCTTCTCTGCCCTGGCCATGCCTCCTGACCTCTGCACACCCTCACGTTCCTCCTGGCAGGGCTGCTAGTGAAAGCATTAAACCACAAGGGAGGAGGCCTGTAACTCCTCTCGAGCTTGGTATTTATCTAATGGTATCTCCATTCTCCTCGTTTCCTTATCCACTCTGTAAAAGATGATCAGATACAGAGCACGCCTTGCAAGGCTGCTGACAATCCCAGCAGGGATCGCGATTCTTCCGGGAACTGCCTGCGTGCCATGCCACCCATCCTGTTAAGCACATCCACATCGAGCAAAGTACCTACTTGCCACGTGCACATTAGACAAAGCCCCGTCTACCAGTTCAGACCCCAGAACAAAAGTCAAGTAGCTGCCATGGCTCTGGTACCGCCCCTTCCTTCACCAGTCAAGCAGCTCCCCACAGACGGTGTGAAGTGGGTCCCTCCCTTTGCATGCGCTCCGTGTGTTGGCATGTTATCTTCCCAGAGATCAGTGATAACAGAGGTATCTGAGATATCTGAGATATCAGAGATAAGCTAGGCCTCCAGCAACGATGCTGGGTAATGGATGCCCAATTCCTCTGTTGCTCTCGGATCTGCCCACCAGCATGGACAAACTGCTGGACAGGGCCAAGCCTGTCAGCGGGAAGGAGGCAGGTGAAACAATCTCTGCAGCGCTTAGATTCCACTTTTAGAGACAGCTCTGGACAAAGTAATGGCCAACGGATTGTACAGCAAGAAGAAAGTTAAATCGATGATAACAGACTGTTTGGAAAACCTCCGGCAGTTACAGGCTGGTTGTAGGGGTCAGCCTTTCACGGGAGCAGGCTGTGCCTGGGGACACTCTGTCCTGACCATCCTCACGTGCATGTGGAGTTGGGGTTTCTGGGGAGAGCATGGGCTTGGAAGGATGAGCTCCGGCTGAGCTGGGGATGCTGTCAGGGGTCACAGCTGCAAGAACAAGCTCTTGCACGCACAGGATTAACCAGGGAGCATCTCCCCGTGCCCTGCTCCATGCCTGGACCTCTCCAGGCAGCCAGCGACACCGGGCTGACTCTAAACATCTCTTGTGCAGGCAGACGTGCACACAAAGCCACCGTAAATCTGCCAGTGTCCCTGACAACGTCCCCGTCCGGCGTTTCAGAGAGCAGTTTCTAAGGCTGCCAATGCTGCCAGCTGGCCGGTTGCTGGCAGCACCAGGATGGGCTTCCCCCTCCCTGAACCCTGCTTGGGTGACAAGGCCGTGGTCGCCTTCTATGCACAGGCCAGATGTCCTGCATGGGCCTTCTCCCAAAGTTATAAACGCTCCTGTGCCAAAATGATAAGGATTATTTTCTGTTTCATATATGAACCCAAACTTGCATTGTATTTTCTCTCATCTTCTTTGCAATGTCGGAGCTAAAAACTGTCTCAGCCTCCATGCGAGGGCTGGGGAGACAACACCCTTCTGGAAACAGCAGGCTCTGATGGGCTGACGCCCAGACTCGCTCTGTTTTCACCTCTTTCCAGCCTTCCCTATGGAATCGGGATCACGCCGGGTGTTTGAAGACTCTGCATACTGCCCCACTCTCCCACCTCACCTCCCATGGCTCCTGGCCATCAAAAGCCCTTTGTCTACAAGGTATTTGCTGTGCAGAATAATAATTTATCAGGCCCTACATTTTTTCACTGATGAAACACAATCCCACTATATCTTTGACAAACACTTAGTTGTTGCCTAAGCCAGGAAATACCTCAACAAACAAACAAACAAGCAAACTGTTGCTATTTACAGAGAAAAAGTTGAAAAGATAGCCAAGCAGGTCTGCACTTGTTAAAATCAACAGTGCCCAGACACAGATCCTGCCATGGCTCGCTGCAGTGCTGTCAGCTTTGGAGCCTTAAAGACAATGCAGTTACCATCTCCATTACAAGTGACTTCTGCAATGGTAATTTTCCTTTCAGATTTTTAGTATCATTTAAATCTTAATGCATCTCCAGCATTGTTTACTAAAACGATACAGCTACATGTCATCTATTTGCTTCAGACAGGAGAAGAACTTAAGCTGCTTCTCCCCAAAATCTAACTGAAAAATAAATATGCTTTTTTCCTAGAAGATGGCTTTTCCAGGATGGCATCCAGGCTTATCTTGCCTCCTTTTGCAGCGGGTAGAGAATCAGGCCTTCATATTCATTTGACAACAAACACTCACTTCTTTACATATAAATGCTCAATAGAAGACAAGTCAACAGCACAAAGAGATTTGGGGAAAAGAAATAACAGAAATACTGTAACCTGCTGCAATTTTGCATTTAGTTGCAAATCTGAAAGTTAATTGATTCCCAGCAAGCAAATTAAGCTAACTCAATGGAAGGGAACATTGAGTGCAATGAGTATCAACTGCTGCCATGCAAATACCCACAGGCAGTGAAGTCTGGGAACATCATGAAGAAATCAGAGACCAAGGGGCTATGAGTTTTGGGAAAGAAGTTTTAAATAAGGCAGAACATCGTTCTCTGTGGATTTCTGTATGGTTTTGTCCCAAATCCTAAATCATTTACTGTCTACAAGAATGCATTGTGTCTGATCTGAACGGCATGTTTCTTGTAAAAAGGAGTCCTATTGGAAGTCATTATTTTAAAATTTATCATAAATCAACATGCTGTTCACATGGTTCTTTAATCAGTTCAGTGTTTTAAAGCTACAGCTCTTCTGCACAGAAAAGAGAAAGCTGGAGGTGGGGAGATGATGGAGGTGTCCGAGATCGTGAGTACCTCTGAGAAAGTGAAAAGGGAACAACGCCCTCCACTTCTCAGAGCACACACCTGAGGGTACAGTATGCCACCACCCAGCAGCAAGTTCATAACAAATGAAGGGAAATACTTTTTCACACAACACATTCCTAAAGTCGTGGCACCCACTGCCTCAGGAAACTATAGAGACCAGATGAATACTCCAGTTCAAAAAGAGATGGGACAAACTCCCAACAGTCTATGAACATCTGTTAAGCATGAAGCAAAGGGTACAACCTCTGGCTCCAGAAATTTTGCCCAGAAGTTGGGTCTGTTAAAGAAAACCTTATCCCATCTCCCTCTTTCTGCTGGCTTTCTCCTCATTTCTGCATGCTTGATGGACCCAGGGTGTGACTCACCTCAAATGTTCCCGTGTTTTTATTTCACCAGGAAAATAAACACAGAAGCTGAATGACTGACCCATTTCTATGTGAGGATAAGCTCTCACACAGTAGTCCAGAAAGGACCAGCAAAAACAAGGTGCTGCCATGGTCACAGGTGCCATGCAGACGCTTCCACGTGTGAACCCTTCCGAGCCTACACAGCCCCCAGCATCCAGTACATGGCTGGATCCTGCCTGCATCTCACACCGACCCTGGGATCCCCCACAACCAGGGGCTCAGAAAGGGCGTTTTAAGGAGGAGCTGGGGCAGATTTATAAAGCAGAGAGCTACGAGAGCTGCGCCCCACAGCTGTCCCCCACCTCATGTTACCTGGGATCACTTTCTGCTCATGAGCTTTACACCAGCTCCAACAACCCTTGTCTCTGGGGGAATCTCCTGGACACAGACAGGACTGCTGCCAGCTGGCCTGTTAGAGGCAGTGCTGGCTAAGGGCAGAGCTGTGCCTGTACCGGCCAGGACATCGCTGACGCCATGGGGGACAGAGTCTGGGTCAATCCCTCTCTAAAGGGCACAGTGAGGATGTTGATGCGACTGCACTACCCATGCAGGAGTCTACAGGCACCCGGCAGCTTGCTCTTTGCGAGGTCCCAGCTCCCACCTGCACCAGCCCTCTGATGCACGGCAGCCTGGGCTACGGAGGATCGCCTCTGTCCCGCGGCATGTCCATCCCTGGCCAAACGGGTCTGACTGCCACTGGCACCGGCTTTCTCTCACAGAAGCTGACTCGCTTGGGCACTTTATGCACCGCTCCCTCAGGCCCCTTCGCTGCTCCCACAGCGCATCCCCTCACGGCTGCCCTCGGGCCCCATCCCCTCATGACACCCCATCCCCTCATGGCTGCCCTTGGGCCTTGTCTCCTTGCCTCTCCCTCACAACGCCCCATCTCCCCATGGCTGCCCTCATGCCACATCTTCTCCCTTC